GGGGGGGAGGGGGGAGGGAGAAAGGGAGTCTTTAGGATGAGAGTGGGGTCCTGGAACATAGGAACTTTGACGGGGAAGTCTATAGAGTTAGCGAAGATCCTCAGAAGAGGAAGATCAATATAGCTTGTGTCCAGGAGACTATATGGGTGGATTCGAAGGCTCGAGATGCTGATGGGTTTAAATTGTGGGTCTCATGATGCGAGAGGGGTAAGAATGGGGTAGGTATCTTGGTTGACAGGGATCTTAGGGAGCTAGTGGTAGAAGTTAGGAGGGTGAACGACAGGCTGATGGCTATTAAGCTGGTTGTAGGAGGGTCTACTTTAAATATGATTAGTGCTTACGCGCCTCAAGTAGGTTTGGACGAGGGGATTAAGAAGCACTTCTGGGAAGAAGTTGACGGGTTGGTACGTGGCATTCCGCTCACCGAGAAGTTATTCATAGGAGGGGACTTCAATGGTCACATTGGGGTGACATCTGGGGGGTATGACAACATACATGATGGCTTTGGCCTTGGAGTTAGGAACGGAGGAGGTACTTCGTTGTTGGACTGTGCTAAAGCCTTTGATTTGGTGATTGCCAACTCGTATTTTCCGAAAAGGGAGGAGCACTTGGTTACTTTCTAGAATTCGTTGGCCAATAATCAAATTGATTATTTACTCCTCCGGAAGTGCGATAGGAGTCTGTGCATGGATTGCAAGGTTATACCAAGCGAGAATCTCACGACTCAACATAGATTATTGGTGATGGACTCAGAGATCATGTGGAAGAGGAAGAAGAGGGCCGTGTATGGTCAACCCAGGATCAGGTGGGGTGCTTTGACTAGTGACAAAGCGCAGGAGTTGGGGAGAAAGTTATTGGCTATGGGAGCATAGAGGAGCAGTGGAGACGCGGGCTGTATGTGGACCATGACAGCGGAGTGTTTTAGAGTAGCTGCGAGAGAAGTGTTAGGGGTCTCAAAGGGTTTCTCTAGAGTCCACAAAGGTGACTGGTGGTGGAGTGAGGTGGTACAAGAGAATGTGAAAGACAAGCAAGCGGCGTACTTGACGCTTATAGAGAGCATGGATGAAGAGGCGAAGAGGATGAACATGGAGGGGTATAGGAGGGCTAAAAAGGAGGCAAAGTTAGCGGTTACTGCGGCTAAGACTGCGGCATTTGGGCATTTGTATGAAGAGCTTGGGGCTAAAGGCGGGGACAAGAAGTTATACAGGCTAGCCAAGGTAAGAGAGAGGAAGGCCTGTGATCTGGATCAAGTTAAGTGTATCAAAGACGAGGAAGGTAGAGTGCGGCGTTTGGGCATTTGTATGAAGATCTTGGGGCTAAAGTTGGGGACAAGAAGTTATACAGGCTAGCAAAGGTAAGATAGAGTAAGGCTCGTGATCTGGATCAAGTTAAGTGTATCAAAGATGAGGAAGGTAGAGTTTTGATGGAAGAGGCTCAAATT